GTCCTTTTTGCCTTCCGTAGGTGTGGGTCGCAATCTTGGGCCCACCAGTGACCCCCTTCTTCTTCAGCATTTGCAGCTTTTGTTGGGGCATTAGCACTTCAGGGCCTTCATTCGAGGCATCAGGCTGCTGGTCTGTCTCCGGCTGCTGGTGCTCTTGCTGGGTTGGGCCGAAGCCCTAAGGTCCCTCATGGCACGGTCCAGGTCAGGATGAACCCCTTCCGGCAGTGGTAGAGCGACAGCAACGGAAGGGGTTTGTTGGCCATGTTGCGTCACCAGCCGAGGTTGAGGCAACTTTTCCACGGTGGCCAGATCTTCCTGTGGGACCGAACCAGCCTGTGTAGCGGTCGGCCGTTGAGGTGGTGGGGCTGTGTCCGGTTGAGGGACCGGTGATCTGTCTGTGCCCCCCTGGGGGTTTGGGGCACCCACAGTTGACTGTTGGTGAAGAGGCGTGGATCCTCCGTGTGGCCGAACCCCCGAAGGTGTTGTCCCAATCCCAGCCTCCGCAGGAGGCTGTTCCTGAGGAGGAGAAGATCCCCTGAGGGACTGACCAGTGTCTCCGGCCACCCTCGGGGCTGCAGGCCCCACGGGATGCGTCGGTCCCACTGGTCGGTTTCTGGCTGATGCTGTTCTGGTTCCAACGACTGTTGCCGCATAGCTTGTCGACAGTCTGGCTGCAGGCTGCTTCTATTTAGGGCAGGTTCTGTCACCTTCCTTATGGCCAAACCATCTACAGTCTGCACACCATGGGTTGTCTTGGGTTACGACCTCCAATTTGTGCTGAGGAGTCCGAAACTTGAGAAATTTTTCGACCCTCGATCTGGCTCGCGGGTGCAGATCATAATGACGATTGACCAGGCGAGGATTGGATTTGTTCTGCTCTGGGGGATATGTCTTGAGCACCTGACCGTATTCCTTTTCCAGGGCTGCTTGCAAAAAGGGCATAGCCAGAAAAGGAATATGAAGCACCCTGACCGTACTTGCAAGAGGACACCGTCCGGGTGGTTCCGCACGTGCGGCAGACCGCCGGACCGGACCCACGCGGCGCCCGACGACCAGTTACCCCCCCCCCCAAAAAAAAAAAAACGCCCCCGTCCGGTCCGGTCCGGGTCCGTCTGGTCCGGGGGGAGGGTGCCGCACGCGGCAAAGCGGACTGGACCGGACGCTCGGCCGGTCCGTCTGCTTGCAAGTATGACCCTGACCCATAATTTCTAGGCTGTCACTTTGTCCTTTCCCTTTGCCAATTCCACTGGAGTGGCCCATGGGCGATAGAGAACTTTACAAGGTTGATCACCACTGTGGCTCCCTCTTCGCCTTTGATCGTCCCTACCATCCAATCTCTAAGTGCATGGGTCGGGGCCAAGTAGCTAATCATGTTCGCACCCTCAGGTCTGATGCGACCTTTCTGTCCATGAGCAATGGCCAAATCCCAACCACCCTCAATCGTTCGTAGCCATTGCTCTTTCACTGCAAAGTTCTCATCGGCACCAGGCCCTTGAAAAACGACCATGACGCCATGGCGACGAAGGTAATCTATTGTCAAGTCAGCCGCTTCGTTTTGTATGTCAACAATGACAGTGTCCTTCTCTTTCGGGTCTCTACGCGTTGACGTGTACTGGGCTGCCTGAGGAGCATCTTCCTCCCCCGTAAGAAAGCATCGACGCAGCATGTCACCCAGGCAGTCATGCTGAGGGCGTTGCTCCCCCATGGCAAGGTCAGGTCGATCTTCACACTATCAAGCCCGTGCAAGGGAAGGTCGACAAGAGCATCAAGCAAGCAAACGACAGTCACCAAGTTGTTATTGGCGAATATGTTATTCCCCGGCGAGCTAAGCAGGCTTGTCGGCTATACAATCAGGTAAAAGACAATGGACAGTCAGATTCTTGGAGAGAAGGGGTTAATAGGCCTAGCAAAACCATTTGCCAACACCGGCAACAGAACAAGAGAAACGATTGGAGTCCGAAGATGAAGAAAGGGCAGTCCCCACATCCCGTTGCGCTAATCAGATACAGACTAGTGATGACAGTGGCGAAAACACATTATGGAGGCGAGACAAAAAAAAGGGTCGAAACGTACTGGTTACAATCAGTCGAGAAAGGCAAGAGTAAACAAGGGGCAGTGCTATCGACGGTATTGCGTATAAGGGGCAACCGGATTCAGGGAGAAGAGCACACAGCGAGGAGGAGCAAGGGGAAACGAGGGGGGGAGAAAGAGGAAGAAGGAATGAAACACATAAAGTTTCGTGAAAATGAGTCACAACATAGAGAATGAGCATAGGGCAATACGATTGACAAGAATGCATAGGAGAGGTGGGCAGATTTGGAAGGGGGGGCATGCCTCGAGGAGCGAGTGGTGAGGACACGAAGGACAGTTGTGAGAGAGATCGGCGACAGGAAATAACGGGGCGCAAACCACAGCTATCGCTCCGCACCGTTCCCACCATCGGTGTTGGCTTCAGCGACAAGCACCTGTTTGCTGATCAGTCAGTGAGGAGGTGAAGCATCGATGTGCCGGGCAATCAGCAGACAGTCGATGAAGAGGTCGAGCGTCGGTCCCAACAGTCATTCGAAGTCGTGTCGTCTCACGCAAGAGGGGTCGATCCCAACCGTGCCAAGAGCACACTGCCCGGGCCTGTCGACAATCACCAATCTCCGTCAAATACCATGCCTCCGCCTGTTGACAATCACCAATCTCCGTCAAATACCATGCCTCCGCCTCCTCAGCAGGAGGAATGCAAGGGTAAACGCCTCGGGCCACAACCAGCGCAAGCACTGGAAGCAGGATGCCCCTGTGGCAACTCCGTATCAGAGACCGAGGGAAGATCCCCCGATCGGGTCACAAAAGGTTTGCTCTTGCGTCCAGATCCCGCCAGCCAGTCGCCCCCACCACCTCCGCACTGCCTTCCTCGACCAAACTGGATTGCTGACGTCACCGTCAACCGGGACCAGGTGATGGAGATCGATCAGGGTCTCAATCGCGTGTCACCCCTAACGCCCGTGCGTTCCAACCCACAACGCCATAGCCTCACCTTCACCAAGTTTTAGCGCATGCAGTCGACAATTTTGCGTCAAACCTAGCGCGAGCGCCCAACGCCTGAACACCGGTAAGCCCAACCAATTCTCTTACATGAACCCACAACAGTACCATTACACAGCCACCCCAGAACCGCCTCTCTAAAAAACAGAATCAGAAAAGGCGGTGTACAGCAGGGCGAGGGTACAGACGAACAAAACATACTCCAAAGAAAAGAGTTTTCATGCTAGCCGAAAAAAGCCGCGGGGGATTGCCTGTGGCAGCGACTCAAGGCGCAGTGCCTGGTGCCACAGGCCCGACAGCAGCGGGCCCAGGTCTTGGAGGGGTTTCCAGTGCCTCAGGGTCACATCGAACTTCTTTTCCAATTTAAAATAACATAAATAAATTATTTTTCTTCTTCTTCTTCTTTTTTTTTTTCTTTTTTTTTTTTGGCCTGGCTGGGCCTTTGGCCCTGGGCCACTCTGGTTGCCTATAGGTCGTCAGCAAAATCGTTCTTGTTTTGTCATTGGTCAGATAGAATATTCAAGCAATAATTTACAAAAGTCATATATGGAGTGCTTCCTGTCTTTTTTTTTTTTTTTTTTTAGCCGGAAACTGGGTCTGGTGTTCCTGTCTTTTTTTTATATATATCGTCATAACCGGGAAGCGGACCCGGCGTCCCTTACATCATTTGCCGCGGCCAAACGGGCTAGAAAGGCACTCCCGGCCAAACCTATCCTTCCTGTCTTTTGAAAAGGCACAGTAGAAAGGAGTCCCCTGTAGGTATGAACAAGATGGCGGGGAAAAATGAAAACCAAGTAATAGGGAGAAAAATTCATAAAATAGTAAAAAAGCAAGAAAGAAGTGTCCACGTCATCTAGAGGTATCTATCTGCATTAAGCAGATATTGCTGATGGAGTAGACTGGGAACAGCGTTGTGGGACATGGTGTCATCTCTTTTAAGTTTTAAATAATTTAACGAGTACTACGCCCGATTTCAAGTTCTGAAAATTTGGTGATTCACTTTTGTTCCGTTAAAAAAAAAAGAATCCGGTTCTTTATAGTGTCACAATTTGTCACTGTTCGTGGATAAATGTATATGACCGTAATTACAACCCTACTTGGATGTAAAAAAAAAAAAGAAAAAAAAAAAAAAGAAGAAAAGAAGCCCTACTTGGATGTGTCCGAGTGCAGTTACGTTTAGAACAGTTACGCCCAGAAATAAGTAACAGAGTCCTAGTGTGAGTATGCCCTTAGAGAAACATCAGTCGCCGACTCGCCGGCCAACTACACATGGGGTGGTGGAGCCCCAACATCGTTCATCCACTGGTTCTGATGGCATCTGCAAAAATGACTTGCTTGGGATTGTTCTGAAAAATGAAAGAATTCAACCGCCGAATGAGGGTCAGCAAAACTATTTGCTTTTTTTTTTTTTTTTTTTAAGAAACTATTAAAGAGACAACAAAGACCAAAAAAGAAAAAGAAAAAGAAACTTAAAAAAAGTCTAAAAGCGTGGATGGCCGTCGGCTCAGTGGTTAGAGCACCGGTTGGAAATGCGCATTGTGGTATGAGGTTGCGGGTTCGAAACTCTGTTGCCTCGCGTGAACGTACACCGGCAAGCGCTTTCACCTAACTCACAAGCCATACACACACACCCCTCGGGACGACGCAAGGTAAGATTTATACAGACACTGCCTGCGCATCGCCCAAGGGGTCTAGGTCCATGGTTGTAGTATGCTGGATAGGGCCATAGGGAGGGCCGCTTGAGTTCTTGGTCTTCAAAAAGCTTGTATTTTTACTTCAAAAAAGGTTTTTTTTTTTTTTTTTACTTTTATTTTTACTTCAAAAAAGGGTACAATGGTCATGCTGGCATGAGTCTACAATTGACAAGTGCACGCCTTTCTCGGTTTTTTTCTTTTCTTTCGTCTCTCTCTTTTATTTTTATTTTTGCATGTCCTCCCTTTTGTGAATGCCCATCCACCCGCCTGCAGGTATGTCGTGGAGAACAAAATTCTTCAAGGTTCTTTGGTTTCCGTCCTCAGGGTAAGAAGTACTAAGAACCTGAAGACAGACCTTTTTCTTCTTTTTGTCAATGCTGAAAATAAAAGCTAAAAAAACACAATTTATCTGCGCTCAAATGTCTGAAGCTTTTGAAAAGTTGAAAACATATATGCGAATTTGAAATTTCCCTAAGCTTTGCCCTTTTTCTTTTTTTTTTTCCCTTTTTTCAGTCGTCAAATTTCGTGAAAAAAGAAACAGAAAAACACTGGAACCATACAGAGAAGGTTTTTATCATGGCCCCTGTGCAAGGATGGGGGAAAAAAAGAAAAAAATCTGAAAAACAGAAAAAAAGAAAAGAGAAATGGAACTTGTGCATGTTTTCAACTAGTCACAGTCCCAGAGAATTGAAATGGGAGCTTTTTTTTATGCTTTTTTTTTTCCTTTCTTTTTTTTTTTCAAGTAGAGGGGGGGAAAGGGGACGAACGGCAGGGGCTCCTATACCAGCTGCGCTTCACCTGGCCCTCTCAAACTCTACATAGTACATATATCTAGTACACATAGTACATATACATATTACATAGTATGAAATGAGTACACATCGTAGTACATATATCTAGTACACGTAGTACATATACATAGTATGAAATGACTACACATTGTAACGTAATACATACACATATAGAGTACATAGTACATCGTACCTAGTACCTTGTACCTATACATAAGTACATGGCACCTAGTACCTAGTACCTATACATAAGTACATGTAGAGTACATAGTACATCGTACCCAGTACCTACACATAGCTGGTGTGAGTAAAGCCATGTACTCGTACACATAGTACATATACATAGTATGGAATTAGTATACATTGTAACATAGTACATATAGAGTATATAGTACACAGGACCTATACATAGCTGGTGTGAGTAAGCCATGGTACATAGTACCCTACTACCCATACATACTTGGTGTGAGTGAAGCCGATCACTCTTCTCAGAGTGACTTGGCGAGTCCTTATCCATCTGGGAAATTCATCCTGTGCAGACTGTCAGGGTTCAACCTCCTGATGATTCGGTGAAAGTCCGACCAAACAGTCTGGCACAGTCATGCTTTTTTTTGAGTGTATAGTGAATATGTGTTACATGCAGCGCGTGCACACACGGGCCATTTTGCAGGCCCGACGGCCATTTTGCAGGCCTGACGGTGTTCAGGCCAAAAGCCTGAACTTCAGGCCGAAAGCCTGAATTTCAGGCCGAAAGCCTGAAATCCAGGGCCTATCCCTGGTCGTTTCAGACTAAAAATGGCAACAGCCTTTTTAGCCTGAAACGGGCCATTTTCGGTCGTTCATCAGAACGACCGGCCCTGAAACTCAGGCACCGAACCAGGGTTTCGGAAACAGACTATTAATAGTTTGTTTCCCACGCCAGCCTCAAGCAGGCTGCTGCACGCCAGCCCCTGGCACACTTCGGCATTGGCAAGAGCTGCCTCCTCGGCCTGACTGGCCTCCAGTAGTCAGGAGGCAGGCCGAGGTAGTACATAGGACTTCCCAGGCACTTCCGAGGTAGGCAGTTGGCAGTAGTAGTCTTCAGGATTCGGGAGCAGCACTCTGGAGGGAGCGCTGCGTTGTAGTAGTTGTAGCGTTAGCTAGTAGTCTTCAGCGCTGGGCGCAGTAGGTAGCTGTAGTCTCCAGCGCTGGGCGCCATAGCTAAATAGCACTAGAGAGAGAGAGAGAGAGAGCTTGGGCGGAGGCCACAGGTACCTACCTGCAGCGCTGTTGCTCCAGCTTCGTCTTCGGGGTACCTGCAGCACAGCGCCAACATCACAGGTTAGTATCTGGTTCGTAACAAAGAGAGAGAGAGTTCTTCTTCTTCTTCTTCTCAGTCCACCATCTCTTCTCTCCCTCTCACTTCTGACTTCACTGCATCTGCAGACTATGAGAGAAGAGATACAGAGCTTGGTGACGTTTGATCCAGACTCGACTTTCGGGGGTTCAGACATGGCAACGAGGCACTATTTGGGATTGGTGACCAAGACTTGGTGTTAACGACATTCCCATCTTCCTCCCTCCTTTCGTCTGATCCTTATCTCTTCGTCTGTGTATGTCTGGACCTGGCGCTTTCTTCCTGTGTGCAGCGCCAGGCTCCTTCACACTCGGTGATGGATACAATGCATGTTTAGTCTGAGTTCAACTTTGATTGGGCTAGTTAGTAGCACTCTAGCATTCTGCTGCGTTACTCCGAACTACGTGGATGAGGTCAGTCCTGTCAGGTCAGTCTTTGTATCAAAGTCTTCCCTGCGCTCTTCAGCACCTTCATGTATGAATGAGAATGTATATTGCTTGTCGAGATTCTATTCGTACCGCATTGTCTATTCAGTCCTTTTCATCACATTGCAGATTCTCGGTTTATTACGTACATTGCATATCTGTGCATGTAACAATATGACAACACGCACGCACACACACACACACACACACACACACACACACACACACACACACACACAGAGAGAGAGAGAGAGAGAGAGAGAGAGAGAGAGAGANAGAGAGAGAGAGAGAGAGAGAGAGAGAGAGAGAGAGAGAGAGAGAAAGCAACTGCTGACCATACATACGTAAAAGAAAGCCTCGGCATTGATCCATCCAGCAAGCCAATCAGAATCAAAAGTAGATGCAAAGTGAGTTGCTTGCTGCTTTGTTTGCGTCTCATTTTAATGAAACAAGTGAGATGCGATGGCACAGCCACAATAATTACGTTCGTATTCCATTTATCTACAAGAGTGTCAAAGACAAATGGGGCAGGAAGGGAAGGATGGGGTTGGGCAGGGGGGTTCTCAAATTGACCCTACCGTCTTCACCCGAATCGAACGCCCAGTCATTATACATAGCTGTATTTAGCACAACTTTTGGTCCAGATGCAGCGATAATGACCGGGTGTTCTATTCGGGTGAAGACGGTAGTCCAGAACAGATCATGTCCTGGGGAACTCCTTGTGACTTGCCTACTCTCTCACCGTTGTATAACCCGATTGAGCGAAGTTTGCTCTCAGTCTTGCAGGTCCACCGCTTTATCGTTTATCGACTGTGAGGCGTCCACAGAGATGGTAGGTCACTGTCTGACATGGCTGCGCTCCTCTCCTTGGGTGGTGGTCGTATCTCTTGTTCCCCTTGCTGTGCAGAGAAAAAAGGACTCGGTTGCTCTCATCTGCCCTGCGAAAGTTGTCTCTGTGGAGCTGCCTGGTACTAGAAGGTCGCCCGAGGATCAGGATGTAAAATCGTCGCAGATGCCAGGACAGAGCGTCACTCACATGGGGTCGTCGCCTGCGTCAGAAGGTAACGGCAACTTAGGAAACGATGAGAACCAACGGGATCTCAATCTGAACAGACTCACATCAATGGGCCTCGCTACACTGCACAACATTATAGAAATGTATCTTGATCTGGTTATGGTCTCCGTACCTTCACGATGTTCGATCAGTCTGGAAAAGACTCTGAATGTGTCCAGTCGACTCCACTGTCCAGATACGTGTCGAATTTTGAGTTGTGGAGCGAGGTCTGCTGTCAGGTGTTTTTTTGAATTCACGACGACTCACAAGTCAGTCAGGAAGGGTCAACCCTGCCTTTTTTTTTTCTGTTCTTTTTTTTTTGGCACACTTCTTGGTTTATGCATTGCGTGTCATCCTTGTGCAGGGGCCATGCTAATCTTCTTTCTCTGTATTGTTCCAATTTTAACGGATGTCCCGAAGGACATCAACACTGCATGCTACCTCTTTTTTTTTTCTTTTTTTTAACCCCATCTTGTTTCAATATAAATTTCACGGAAAACCTGCTGTCTCCAAGTTTGATTGGTCTTGCCAATCATCTCTAGTTTTCGCTAGAGGTTAGACTATACCTTTATCTCTACCAGTCCCTTTTTTTTTGGTTAAAAAAAAAAGGGCAACAGCCTCGAGATATCGTCACTGAGCTGACTGGTCCCAGGTAATTCAGAATTATTTTGATGCCATTCATCTGGATTCTAACTTGGGTCTGTATTTCAACAGTTCACAGGTGTACCAACTGAGTTACATGTAGGCCCATTGATATATCTCTAGATTCTCTACCAATCTTCATTATTGTCAGCATAGGGGCATCATATTCACACTAGGACTTCTATGCATGTATAAATTATGACCGCTTTTCCGACCCGGCGTGGACGCACCTGACAGCAATTACGTCCACAAAGAAGTGGAAAAAGTGCTAGTGTGAGTATGTCCTAAAATATTTTGTAAATTTGGACTATTTTTGCAAGCGGTTTTCTAGGGGCGTTCCCCCTTCCCCCCCGCCTTTTTCTAGTGTGATTTTCCACAACTTTAGTCTAGTGTGATTTTCCACAACTTTAGTCTAGTCACTCTAGTGTGATTTTCCACAACTTTAGTCTAGT